TTAAAGATAAAATCAAGCAATTTTGTAGCTTAAAGCTAAAATTTGCTAAACTGTAGCTAAATGCTAAAACTAGCAATACAATTACTAAAAGCTAAAATCAGCAATTCTGTAGCTTCAAGCTAAAATTAGCAAAACTGTAACTAAATGCTAAAACTAGCAATACAATTGCATAAAGCTAAAATCAGCAATTCTGGGGCTTTCAGCTAAAATTTTCTAAACGGTAGCTAAATGTTAAAAATAATTCAAGTGTAGCTTAAATCTAAAATCAAGAAAACACTAGCTAAAAGCTAAAATCAACAATACAGCAGCTAAAAGCTGAAATTAGACAATTGTACATAGTTTAAATGCAACCATTAGCAAGACTGTAGCTAAAATCTAAAATCATAGATAAACCAGTAAAAACAGAAAAGCTGTAAAAAGTGAAATTTTGCTAAAATGTTGTAAACAGCCAAAACTAGCAATAACATCTCTAAAAGCTGAAATAAGCAATATAGTAGCTTAAAGTTTAAATTAGCAAGACTGTAGGTAAAATTTATAATAATTAAAACAACATCTAAAAGCTAAAATCAACAAGACAGCAGCTAAAAGATAAATGGTGCATATAAGATAAAAACAGAACAAATATAAAGACAAGTAAAATAGTGACAGCTTCAAGGTGGAGGTGGGAGTTCATCAAGGATCAGCTCTGAGCCCCTTCTTGTTTGTTCTGGTGATGGACCAACTAACAGATGAGGTCAGGAATCCCTGTGGACTATGATGTTTGCAGATGATGTTGTGATCTGTGGTGAGAACAGGGAACAAGTGGAAGAGAACTTGGAGAGGTGGAGGTATGCATTTGAAAGAAGAGGAATGAAAGTGAGCCATAGTAAGACAGAGTACATGTGTGTGCATGAGAGGGAGGAGGTGGAACAGTGAGGCTACAAGGAGCAGAGGTCACAAAGCAGCAGGACTTCAAGTACTTGGGGTCCACTGTCCAGGAAAATGGGGAGTGTGGTAAAGAGGTGAAGAAGAGAGTCCAGGCAGGATGGAGTGGATGGAGAAAAGTTTCAGGAGTGATTTGTGACAAAAGGGTGTCGGCAAAGTTCAATGGACCCACCATTCAGAATCAATCGGAACGTGTTGATATATAAATATTGAAAGTAGTTTAATTGAAGAAGTCCAGAAAGAAATGATAAAGAAGAGGGTTTCTCTCTCTTTTCTAATGAGTGCACGGCTTTCCCTGCTTCCAGTCGGAGCGTTTGTTTTAACTACGATCATTTCTCAGAGGGATGTGGAATGCTCGGACACAGCAACGCGAGTCTGCACCTTCCTCCATCTTAGAGCAGCGACCCTTCAGGTGGATCATCAGCCACCAGCCAGGCCAACGGGCTCTCAGTTCGGGTCAGAGCTGCGCCATTTTACAAGAACTTGTTGAGGACTGCAACGAACCAAAAGCACCTTTTTCCACCCCCTTTGTTGCCACTTCCACTGGATATGCAATATGGCCAATTTGCTTTAAGAAAAATAGTTATGTAAGTAAGACTTTCCATGGAAAAAAGGAACAGGTATTTTTTAAACTGAAGCTGTTTGCAACGCTCAGTTTGCATCAAATATCCACTAAAAGACTGATTTCTTTCCACATTATACTTTAGAGAATTTAATTATCTGCAAATACCTGTTAGTGAAAATACTGTACGTGTACATCGAGGATTTTGTGTTAGACAGTAAGTCCTCAAACTGCTTCAGATGAAGTTAAAATCCTTGATAAGTTTCTTTGAGGCACAATGGAGGCACGATAAACTCAGAGTTTAATGCTGTTTCCATGCAAACGAATGGAAACCCTCACAATCCCACCACAGAGGGCCCCCCTGCCCCATTCAGTGCTCCAATCATGAAAGCGTCCATTCACAGATGGGAGCACCGGACCTGAGTTTACCGGTGAACGTGTATTAGTCTTCAGTCAGGAGGCCTTCGAGACTTGATGAAGAATGGAAGACTCTGAATAGATTATTCAGGGTCCGATTTATTCAATGCATGAGTCTGAAAGTTGGAGTTGTGATTTGTTTCCTTTCCAAATAATGTCCCCAAAATATTTATTTTGAAGTTTTAAACTGCTGTTAACTCGTGTTCTCGGCAAGGATCAAGAACAGGACCACGCTGCTAACAGGACGGTGTTTTTACAACAGCATTTTAAGTTTAATTTTTATTGTCGTACTCGTTGTCTGTCTAAAAACAGGCTTCTCTTGAAAATGAGTCCTTATGAGATTACCTGTATAAATAAAGATTAAATTAAACTACATTCAAAAAAGGAGGTCAAAAATAACCCAGATGGAGCCGAGCAGCTGTTGTGTGGAGATGGGAGAATCTGGTCTGTGGACCACTAGAAGCTGCACAGAACTGGGCTTCATGGAAGTGTCAGGAAAAGACGTTTCCTAAAAGTTATACGTGGACGACCACTTGCAATTTGCCAAAATGTTTATTTGAGAATCCTTAAACATGGAAGAAGCTGCTGTGGTCAGATAAGACCAAGAACAAATGTTTTTTTTTTCCCACACACAGTTAAGCATGGTGGTGGTAGCTTCATGCTGTGGGGTTGTTTTCTATTGGTAGAGCCTGCAATGGCATGGCGTAAGAATCGTGTCTTTGCTTTATGGAAAAGAAACGTTTTAACAACCGTCATGATTATAATAATTATAAGTAGAGGTTCTGCAGGAGAGGAGGTTGTGAGAGAAGGATCATGCCCCTTCCCATCTTTGTGATTAGTTTTTAGATTTTGCTGAATAAAACAACAAATATTGAATAAAACACCAAATATGTCAATGACTTCTTCAAAATGTTTTCCTGAAGTCCGTTGACCGGTATTAGATTCCTGATCTATAATCGCTTCATATTAAAGTCTCACATCGAGAATCATCATTTGACTATTCTAGTGTTGTTGACAGAAGCGGACCAGGTTCATACCCAACCCTTCCACAGAGGCACATGAAGGCATCACCAGTCCTTCATCGCTCTCTTTCACCACCTAAAGAGCTATTTTGAGCTTTTCTCTTCTCGTGGCCTTCATCATCCCACCCGTTCTCCTGTCTGTGGGGGCTGAAAACAGCATTTTATTCCATATGAGACAGGGCAGAGCCTGTCTGCCTCCTCCAGGATGACAAACACCATGTTTGTTGGCTCATTTTGTTGATTTTACCAGCCTGAATTATCAGCCAGCGTAGGTGCAATCAGTCCACCGTGTCTCCTTTTCACCTTTTTCCAGGCCCTCAGTTTGATGCTGCAACGAACGAGGGGAGGGAGGAGTGTCGGGTGATCATCGTTCCTCCCATCACCTGTGAAATTTCAGAGCCGGTTCTCTGTGAAAGGGGGCTTTGTGCGTCGCCCTGACGAGGAATGCCCTCTGCGTTCCCCGTCAAAGAAAGGGCTTCATCCGGCCAGGAATTTGGAGGCATCTCGAGAAGTGTAAGGGAGTTGTTGTTTTTAAAGGTGGGAACAATATCAGGCTGTACAAATGAGGAACAAGCCTTCACCAAATGGTCGATCTTTACTGTACCAATTCAGTTATCTAAAGAAAATTCAATGAAAAAATTGTACAAGTCATCTTATTTTGGGGAAATTTGTATTTTGCTCTCTTCTAACGAATTATCAGAAAGGGCAATTTCACAAGGTAAGGCTGACATCTACTGGTGAAAATCAACCAGGACTGGTAGCAACTTTTAGATTCATACAAGCAAGCAGTACTGTACTGTTCTTGCCCATGTCCACGTGCACGTGTGTGCAGAAGACTCTGTTTTCTCCAGATTGTGTTGCTTTGTTTCACCGTGGAAGATGAAAGAGTAAAGTGAGGGTGAAACTGTCGAACAAAAGGGAGAAGGAGAACAGTGCAGATACCAAGTTTGAACAACGTTGATGATGATTTGTTGTTGTTTTTCAAATGTCAATGACAAAAAGACTCTAATTAGCTAACTGGACTGTCTTAGCCATTAAAGAGATTAGATTGACTAAGTAGAATAATTTGGATTTTTGTGAAAAATGTTTTATACTGTACACACTATTTAACAGGTAAAAGTTGCTTTACTGTGATCAGACCTAGGATGAATGAAAATAAATAAATAAATACTTTTTTTTCCCTTTTAAATAAGAAACGCAGCACGGTGGCTCAGTTGGTAGAGCTACTGCTTCTTAGCAAGCAAGTCGCCCTGGTTCATATCCCATCCGGGGGCCTTTCTGGGTGTAGTTTGCATGTTCTCTCTGTGCTGCTTGGGTTTTCCCCGGGCATTCTGGTTTCCTCCCACAGACCAGAAACATGCATGTTAGGCTGATTGGTAACTCTAAATTGTCCCTAGGTGTGAGTGAGTGAATGGTTTTTTGTCTCATTTGTCTTTATGTGGCCCTGTGATGGACTGGAGACTGGTCCAGGGTGTACCCTGCCTCTCGCACAGTGATAGTTGGATATGAGCACCATTGACCCCTGCAACCCAAAAAGAAAGAAATGGGTAATGGAAATAAATAAAAACAAGCAAAAACGACCGTGAGATTATTATTATTTTTTTCATTTAGCCTTTATTTATGCAGGTAGTCTCAATGAGCCACGAGAACTCATTTTCGAGAGAGATCTGTTTAGGGAGCAGATGGGGGGTTATGGGCCTTGGTCATGGGTCCAGAGTGGGGCGAGTGAGTGTGGGGGCAGGTGTGGGTGCTTCACCTACCCCACCTACATTTTTGATGTTGATGTTGATGGTTGAACGGGCAATCTTCCGATCACAGGCCCACCTTCTCTAACCTCTGTGTCACCACTCCCCCACTATAAATAATATGTGCAACATGTTGCAAAACAACAAACTGACCGTCTGTGTCAATTCTTCCGGAAATATATATATTTTTATATGTTTAAACGTCATATTTTTAGATTTTAGTACCAATCTACAAGTTTAAAGAGAAGCAGTAATTTTTATTTATCAGAAGGGGGCAGCAACGCACTGCATCCCTCCGAGTTTACCACAATACCAACGAAGAAGAAGTTCCAACCGGAAGTCCGTTTGTTTATAGACCGCTTTAGGACGCAGGTGTGGAACAAATTTATCTAATTTTAGGTAGTTACAACTTTGTAGTGCTTTGTCTAGCCTCGTGTTTATTCAAAGGTTTTTTTTTTTACATTTGACTAGTCGCCAATTAACAAAATAAATCGGAACAGAAAAAGACGCGAATCTTATTCTTGTTGGAGTTTGTTAGCCGCGAGCTAATTTGACGGCGGACAGAACTCTCATTGAAAAAAATGGAGATTTTACTTTGCATTGCTCACCGACCTTAAACCAAGTCGTTTATAACAATGCTAAAGATACGTAAACAATCAACACACTTTGGTCTTTCATTCGGGAATGTATGTTTATAAGACTTTTATAAATACTTCTAAATTTTGGGTATTTCCAAAGTTAGCTGCTAACGGGGCATCAATTTATTTGGAAACCACTTATCTAAAAAAAAAAACCAAACCATTTTACTTAGTATGTTTGCCACAAACCATATTAACCATATTGACCATAGGCAACTTAAACAAATCTCTAAATGTAACTGAGATGGATGCTTGTTTGTCTGCATGAAGCAGCACTACATATTTATTATAGAATACTAGTTAGAATAAAGTAAAACTGACCTTGTGTATAACAGGTTGATGTTTGTGGTGTTTTTCTGCTGCCTTGCCCACAGAAACATGGAAAATGAAGATGAGATCCAAAGTAACGGCACCAAAACGCTGCTCATTCGCCACTTACCAGCTGAGCTCAGCCAGGATGAGAAGGAGGACTTCCTGAAGTACTTTGGAGCCAAATCAGTCAAAGTCTTCCCAAACTGGGGTCGTCTTGTAGGTGATGTGCTCCTAAACATCGTTAATTTCCTTTGAGTGTATATCCAGTGTGAAAAGACTTGTCCGTCTCCACAGAAACATGCAGCGTTCGCATCATTTAAGAGCGAGAGGATGGCTGCAAAGGTCAGTGTTTTGTGTTCAGTTCGTCTCGTTTCGTGTCCGTTTGCTCCTCAGTTCACTCCTCACCACGTCTCTTGTAGGCTCTCAGCAGGCTTCATCAGCTAGAGGTTCTGAATCAGACGCTTGTTGTGGAGTTTGCAAAAGGCCAAGATGACGTCGTAGCTTTAAAGGACCCGCCAGTTTCAGACGGGTGAGTTGGTTGTGAGAGCAGATTAATGTTACACCCTGTTGTTTTATTGTTCCCCCTTTTTTTTTTTTTGTTTTGCACAGTCATGTGAAAGAAGAGCGGAAGTTAAAGGAGAGCAAACAACCAAATATCCCGCTTATAGAGACCGGTGTTGCACCTGAGCACGGGTAAGAATCAGCTTCTTTTATTAGTTTATTCATTTGTACATTTTGAGAGGTGAAAAGCATCAAATGTATCTATTTAGTTGTTTTTACCTGCAGCAGGTGAGTCATAAACCACCCAAACTACTACACATTTTGAACAGTTCAGTGTGTGACACGCCCTTCAGCTGTAGAAGCATTTGAGAGTTTGCTGTAAAGAAAGTGGAGGTCGGCGGCTGAACGAGGATCTGTCAGCTGCTCCTGCTGTTTAATGAGACCTGCAGTATTGGAGACCTCTGGCCAAAGTGCTGTGCATAACATGGTTATGTGGGGAATGCTCAAAAGACAATAAAAACAAACAGCAAATGGACAATTTTTGGAATACACAACTAACTAAATAAAAAGCAATAAAATATTAAAAAAGTTAGCTCATACCGAGTTAAAGGTCTGTGTCAGGGGAATCTAGTAAACAGGTTATGGATGTTTATCACTAATGTTAAATTAATGTTGGACCATGCGTGTGAAGTGTGTGTGAGGTCAGAGAGTCATGTATCTGCTCAGACAGGAGCCTGCAGGTGCACGGAGGAGCACCTGATAACTTCTAATCTTCTCGTCTGTAGGCTGGAAAGCCGAGGTCGTCTTGACCTCGCCTCAGTCTGATAAGCGTGTATTATAAAACACTTCCTGCCTCACTGTCCGGTGCAGATATTCATGACCGGGAACCAAGCATGTCACTTGCCTGTTGTGAGTAGAGACCTGTTAAAATCCTTCTTGTGTCTTCAGAGTTGCTTATTTTAGTAAATCCAGAAGATGAAAGGATATTTATCTAACACTCTGTTCCCAAAGTATTCACACAGGCAGGCTGCCCAGTTTGGTTGAAACTGGTTCTGGGCGTGATCAGAGGGTTTGACTCAATAACTCACACAGTTAGAGGAGACGTGCTCTCAGTTATTATGCTGATTAATGTACAGTATTTGTTGTTTGATTCCTGATGATGAATGCCCAAAAAAATTAAAGTATAACCTTTTTTTTTATGTTTTGCTTTTTATTCCCTTGTTTTGTTTAATTTAGTGTTACCTGAACATAACTGGGGCATTTTGTCAGGAATAACTTGTTCCAAATGTTTCCTTTAGAATTAAAATGTGTTTTCAGGACTATTTGCCGTCTGTGAGCAGCAGAGCTCTCCTCAGTGTCAGGACATTTGTTGGTCATTAAATCCTACGGGTGGATTCTCTCATAGACCCGTCGCGATCAACAATAAATCAATGAATCTCATGATAAATGAAAATTATCAACCTCGTTTTCATTTATCGGCTTCATCGTTTCTTCGTGTCTCTCTTTCTACTGAAGACACTGGACGACAAAAAGCTCAACTCCGGTGCTCTTCACTGACGCCTCCCTTTCTCTTAAAAATCCGTTTTAACGATCCAGAATTGTGTTTTTGGATCGTTAAAAGCAGCTGAGCTGAGAAGCTAAGCTAACAGGCCGACCTCTGGGGGAAAAAAACTCCGTCTTGTCGAAGCTCCAAAATTCACGGTTGAAACCTGTGTCTTCGTCTAAAAAGTTTTTTTTTCTGCAAAAAGAAACTGAGAACTTGTTTACTGCTTTTTTTTTAAATTAAAAGCTTGGAGTGAAAAATGCTACGCTAAAGAGCTCAAACCACAACGAGCGTCTGCCTTTTTGAGAACCGAACAAAATGCACGAGAGACAGCCCACGTCACGTCAAGGGGCCTCCCTCCCATTTTTCTTAGAGACACGCTGCTCGCTCCCTCACTATCCATCCTTCGGTTCGGTCTTATACTGCCATCCGTTGGCCAAAAAAAAAGATACTACACACAAAAGTAACCAACATTTCTTCTTAAATTTGACAATAATTACTAATTATTGTCAAATTTCAAACTATATTATAATTCATCGCAATATTTTCTGAGACAATTTATCGTGACAGACCAACTCTCTCGCTAAAGCTTTTCATAGCAGCATAACGGCTCAGTGGTTAGCACTGCTGCCTCACAGCAAGAAGGTCCTGGGTTCAATCCCCAGTTGGACCTGGGGTCTTTCTGTGTGGAGTTTGCATGCGTGGGTTTTCTCCCGGCACTCCGGTTTCCTCCCACAGACCAAAAGCATGATGTTGGTCTGCCTTCAGGCCCAGGCCTCCCTTACAAAAGAGATCTGTGATCTCAGTGGGATTTGCCTGGTTAAATAAAGGTTCATCAAAATAATAATAAATACAATTTCCTGTTTCGTTAAAGATACAGTGGAACCTGTCGTGTGCTTTTGTTCACTCGAGGTTAAATTTGAACGATTTTAGAAGCTGGTAAAAACCGGACGGATCATCTCATTGTGAGCTGAAACGTAAAACCCCACAGCTAAAGAGAGTCGACTTTGTTTTCCTCCGTTTGAGAAAAGTGGACTAGTTATTGTCAGAGTCAGAGTTTCTTTATTGTCATTCGCACCTCATGTGGTACATGTGGTGGAGCGAAATTTTGTACACGGGGTCCCAGTTACATCCAACAACAAAATGTATAAGAAAAACAGTAATAACATCTAAGATATGAACTAAGAAAAACATCAACTAAATATACACTAAGCACTCATAACATAAAACATATTTTCATACAACATATCATATCATACAACATATTGTGTTTTTGGTTTAAACTTTTTTTTTTTTTCTAATTTCTTTAGGTTGAAGTTTCAATCAAATCCCACGTTGAAATATTTGTACCCTTCGCCATCGAACAGCATCCTGACCAACATAACGCACGCCCTCCTGAGCGTGCCCAAGTTTTATGTTCAAGTGAGTAAAACCTGCTGTTTGTATCACCTCCATGTGCAGATGTTGACATGATGTTTTTATAATTATTATCCCTCTTTATTACCTGTTTGTAAAGTGAGAATTTATAAATGCTTCATTAGTTTCTGAACATTCAAGCTCCTAAAGATCAGACACGAACATTTGTCTTTTTAATCTTAACATGGGGAACAAGTTTTACCAAAACAACCACATTTCCCCTGGAGCCAAGCTGCACGGGGTTTTCCACCGGAGCTGCTTCCTTCAGCACCTTGGTGGCGCTGGTGTTTCACACCGAAGCTGCAATCCCACCTCGATCCTTGTATTTGTATGCAGTAGTCAGACGTGTGTCACGCGTGGACATTTAGGCTGCAGCCGTATGTTTATACACGCCTCACACACGGCTGCCTGTGCATGTGCTCCACATTAAACAGGTGCTTCATCTGATGAACAAGATGAACTTACCGTGTCCGTTCGGTCCCGTCACGGCCAGACCGCCCCAGGTAAGATGAGATTTTTGTCCACGGCAAAAAGGTGAGGCATCGTTTGCGTTGAAAGAAAACGAAAACGACCAGAAAAACGTAACGTAAAGGTTACCGTCACTGCAGGATGTTTGGACTCGTGATCTTGGAAAAGATTTTAAATACAAAATCACAAAAAAACGTCTTTGCTCCAGATTCTGCAGCCATTTTTTTATTTTTTTTTATTAAGGTTTTGCAGAAAGTTATGAACAAAAAATATCTAACCTGTTCTTTAGAACAAATCTGTTTAATTCTGACTGGATAGAACTAACAGCTAAAACTCTTTAGTCACTCAAACTGTAAATAAAGTATCTTATAGATGAAGTGGGCCCGCCTGATCTGGTTTACTAAACTAAACCGTATTTTGGGAACAGAATAAAATTATCTGATTTCCTTATTGGTATTTCATAATTTACTGTATTATCGGTGGAATAAATTATAGAGCCTGACCGATATGGAAATTTTGAGAGGGGCAAGTTATTGCCGATAACCAATATAATGGCTGAAAAGTTTTGAGCTTTGTCCACCCCAAGAATCCAAGTAAACGGATACTTTTAACTATGTTAAGACTTTAACAAGATCTATTTGTGAAAAAGAAACCCAGTTTTAATTCCAGTTTCTTTATCAAGTTTTCAACATGAGGCTTAAAAGAGAGATGTGCATCAACCAAAATTCCCAAATATTTGCAAGATTCGACAAACTCAATAGGAACACCATTCGTAAATCAGAGTCAGAGTCAGAGTTTCTTTATTGTCATTCGCACCTCATGTGGTACATGTGGTGGAGCGAAATTATGTACCACATGAGGTGCGAATGACAATAAAGAAACTCTGACTCTGACTCTGACTCTGACTCTGATTTACGAATGGTGTTCCTATTGAGTTTGTCGAATCTTGCAAATATTTGGGAATTTTGGTTGATGCGCATCTCTCTTTTAAGCCTCATGTTGAAAACTTGATAGATAAATAAGATAGAAGGAAGGACTGCTGGTACCGACTTCCTGTTTGAAAACATCCCTTTGGTTTTTTCAGCATTTAGCACAAGTTTGAGACGGAACAAATCAGACTGGATGCTGTTGAATGTAGACTGTAAAAGCTGGAAAACCTTAGCAACAGTTTTAGCTCGACAATAAACAACTGTATCATCAGCATACAAAGGTAAGGATGCATCAGGGGTGATCTGACCTACTGTACATCACTAATGTAGCTTGTAAGAGGGTGGGTCCTAAGACTGAGCCTTGTGGTACACCATTGTAGACAGTTAAGTACCTGTTTTAACACTTGAAGTCTTGAAACAGTCTCCTAACATGTCTTCACATTTTTTATCCTCCGCTATTCACCATAAAGTTATCAAGTGTTACAAAAGTATAAATTTAAACAAAGAAACTCCCCTGTTCATTGTTTAAACCGCCAGTCACATATAGTGAAGGTCTAATATTGACCACAGCAGCATTGTTTTTTTCTTTACAGAGAAGTAAATATTTCAGACAAACAACACATTTCATCGAAAACGACAAAGATAATGTTACTAACACTGATATATTTTACCTCTACGTTAGATTTATTGTTCTGGATAAAGTTTTACAAGGCTAGGCTGTCTAAACGTTAGCTTGCTAACTTGAGAGGCATGTAGCTAATGACAAGCGGGTTAGAGGATTGAAGAGAATTTATTATTGTTCATTTGTTTTACAGATCAGTTCAAATAAACTTACGATGCTCTGTTCAGAATACACTACACAGTTTTGCTCGCTACTTCAGCTGTACTGAAAGTGAAAGTTAAGGTCCATGACTTGAAAGTAGTCCACATGTGCCCTCTGCTGGATAAATTGTACAATTACAGCTTACGGCAGTAAGGACACGGCTTGTTTCCAGTGTTTATATCTGCACATAATGGGACAATTTTCACGGATACCGATATGTTACCAAACGCCTATATCATCCTAAAATATCGGTCATACTGATATATCGGTCGGGCTCTAATAATTTATAGTTGGGTTTGAATCTAGATCTGTTTTGAACAGAAAAAGATTTATAATTTGGACTTTTTTTTTGTTTGAGCAGTTCTCTGAGGTGACTTCTATTGTGAATTGGTGCTGTATAAATAAACTTAATTAAATGAAACCGAATGAACGTTTGTGTATGAAAAATACAGGATTAGAAAGAAGCTGCAGTCCCGCCTACTTTCCCACATGACTTTTCTTTTAAGCATGAAATAACAAATTACTGTTCAACGTGTTACAAAACTGAAGACTTGAACATTTAGCAGCAGGGTAAAATCTGTATGAATCAAGATTCGTCAACACTTATAGTCAAGAGTCGTGTTAACATGGAAGAGGCGGGACTTAAGACAACCAACAGGGACGATCGGTCCTATTCCGGCTTCAACGTCCGGGTTCCATTTGGACGTCTAGATGTATAAAGTTTTTGCGGTACAGTTCAGTATGAGGATGTCGGGTGAGGCAGAAAATATGTTTGTTTGCATACAAGTATTTCAGTCACTGATGTTTCCTGCAGTTTATTCCCCTGCCTCCTGCTCCCGCCATACCCATGCCCCCTCCCTTCCCTCCCGACTACCCCCCGTTACCGGAGGAGGAGATGGAGCTGTCCAGCGGTGAAGAGTCGGAATACGAGAGCGGCGATGACGAGGACAAAGAGAGGTGAGGGAGCAGAAAATCCAGCTTCCTCAATCAAACAAATCTCCGTTATTTTCCCGTAATTAGGTTGATTCTTTGTTGACGGGCGGGTTTTCGACGGGGTGCTCGTTTGTGTCCAGGTTAAGTCGCCGTTTCCTTCACTCCCCCGTGCTTGCTTCATTTCAGGATTGCTCGTCTGATGGGCCTGGTCAACCAAGCATGCAAGAGACCACTGAGACCAAAAGCAGCTTCAAAAAGAAAGAAGCCCAAGATCAAAGATCTTCTTTACGCTCCCAAACCAGACTCTCAGAGGTAGACCGAACGCACTCGTGCACGTTAGACACCATTTGTCTGGTTACTGCATTCTGAGGCGCGTCAAACCAAATCGTTACACAATACGTTTTTGGTATAAAGACGGCCACACTCAGATGAACAGACACTTCTGTTTCTAATCTATAAATACATACAGAGCGGGGAATAGAAGGAAGGACTGTTGGTACAGACTTCCTGTTTGAAAACAACATCCCTTTGGTTTTTTCAGCATTTAGCACCAGTTTGAGATGGAACAAATCTGACTGGATGATGTTGAATGCAGACTGTAAAAGCTGAAAAACCTTAGCAACTGTTTTAGCTCAACAATAAACAACTGTATCATCAGCATACAAATGTAAGGATGCATCAGGGGTGATGTGACCTACTGTACATCACTAATGTAGATTGTAAAGAGTGTGGGTCCTAAGACTGAGCCTTGTGGTACACCATTGTTGACAGTTAAATAACTGGAGGAAGTACCATTGTGTTGAACACACTGCCTCCGATCAGAGAGGTAATTAGAAAACCAACTGATAGTGTGATCTGAGAAACCAATGTCAGAGAGCTTATGACATAAGATGTCATGGTCCAGATGCCAAAAGCTTTAGACGGGTCTAATCTGCACGTTTGATTAAGAAACGTGTGGGCTCTGCTGTTTATCCTTCAGTGCTCCCGTCCTGCAGCCGTCCGATGTGTTCGAGCAGCCGAACGCCGCCGGGCCCAAGAAAATTGAATTCCACATCTCGGTTCAGGACGTGGCAGCTGCTGTGGAAGGGAGTGGATCTGCACAGCCTCACGATGAAGACAAAAGTAAGGCTCAGCTTTTCTACTTTGTCCAGCTTGTTCCGTTCAGCTCACAAAATCTGAGGGGGACAAAAGTTCAGTTTATAATGAGAAAATACAAAGAAATCAAATAAGTCGTTGAATATCAAGATAATTTTACACTTTAAATACATTTTCAGTGTAACGTGAAGGACCCCAGGGCTTCATAACCTCCACGACCACTTTATTTAAAGTTATGGATATGATTTATTGTTCTTGTCCATCATTTTCTTGTTGGTTTAGTTAATTATTGTAATAAAATCTTAAAAGTCAAATTTAGTTTCCTTACAATTTGGGTAAATGTTCATTTATTAAGGTAAAGAGCTCCCTGCAGGTAACTTCCACTTCAGGGACTGAGTTCTGTTTAATAAGTTATTCATCTGGTTATTAGTCTGTAAACGAACCTAATAAGTATAGAAAAGCATCAAAACATAAATATCGTTGGTAATTTTGTCATCTTTCACTCAGTGTTTCTGAAACTTAACATATTTTCATCTTTTTTTTTTTGGTCATCCCTAAAAAGTATTTATATGCTGAAATTATCTCAACTCCACTGTTTTTATTGACGACTTTAAAACGTTGGATTTGTGTATAAATCTCTAATAGACGAGCTCGATGCTAACCACGTTAGCTTTGCTATGGAGTTTTCAGTTGCTGTTTGTTTGTCAGCAGCCTGAGATTATGTTATTGTGCACGCTTTATTAGGTTTAAAGTTGTCAAATGAGCCACAATCCTCTGCAGTTTGTAAATTTGTATTTCTCTCTCTGTGTTCATGAGATATTTTGCTAATGGATAGGCCGGTCACGATAACAAATTTTGCCGGGCGATTAATTGTTTCAGAAATTATTACGATAAATGATAATATTGTTTGAAATTTGACAATAATTAGTAATGTCAAATTTAAGAAGAAATGTTGGTTCAATTTGTGTGTAGTGCCTTTTTTGACCACCGGATGGCAGTATAAGACTGAACCAAAGGATGGATAGTGAGGGAATGAGCAGCATGTCTCTTTAAGAAAAATGGGAGGGAGGCCCCTTGACGTGACATGGGCTGTGTCATTCCTGTTTTACAGTTCTCAAAATGGCGGACGCTCGGTGTGGTTTGAGCTCTTTAGCATTAGGGATGCACTGATCCACTTTTTTCACTTCCGATCCAATACCGATATCTGCGTTTTGATGCCGATCTGATACAGAAAAACTTTGCTGAATTAACAAAAAATGGCTAAATCGTGTCATCAGATGACACGATTTAGCCATTTTTGTTGTCTACCTGGATGTTTGCTCTTACAAACCCAGTGCTGAATTCACTTAAAACATTTGGTTTTTTTTAAACGCAGACATGAATGTACTGAATTACTCATTTATTGAAAACTCTGCACCAGAGCAGCTCACTTAAACACACCAAGAGCTTCACAAGCTCGGTCAAACGTGTAAAAAGAACACAACTTTAATTTGTTCAGTCAGTTTGCTAGCACGTGACGTCACTCGGAGCACAAAGTATAGAGTTAGAGTGACTAGATCTGCCCAGTCTTGGATCAGTCACATTGTCACCGACACCCGATCCAGAAGGTTTTTTTTTTTTTTTATGTCCGTACCGATATCGGTATCGGATTGTTGCATCTCTATTTAGCATAGCATTTTTCACACAAAAGCTTTTAATAAAAAAAAATCAGTCCACAAGTTCTCAGCTTCTTTTTGCAGAGAAAAATAACTTTTTACACGAAGGCACGGGTTGGAGCTTCGACAAGACGGAGGTTTTTTTCCCCGAGGTCAGCCTGTTAGCTTAGCTTGTAGCTTAGCTGCTTTTAATGATCTAAAAATGTGATTTTATTTAGTTAAAATAGATTTTAAAGAAAAAATAGAAAGGGAGGCGTCAGTGAAGAGCACCGGAGTTGAGCTTTTTGTCATCCAGTGTCTTCAATAGAAAGAGAGACACGAAGAAACGATAAAGCCGATAAATGAAAACGATGTTGATCGTTTTCATTTATCATGCGATTAATTGATTTATTGTTTATCGCGACAGGCCTACGAACAAACAGTAACATATTTCATGATCGGAGCTTCGACTGTAGCTGGCTGGGCGTTCTAGAAGGAAGCTGGTGAAGTTGTGTGCAGCGGTTCTGATGTGTAAAAACGGTCGTTGTAGGATCAGCTAAAGTCGAGCTTCGTTTATCAGCTGAAGTATGAAAAGGAAGAGATGACTGAAAGTGACAGCAGAGACGATTTGTAACGCTGAGTGTGAACGGCAGCGGTGCATGAATGCGTGCGCACGTGCTGCAGATGGGGAAGAGCAGCCAGCCTGTACGAATCCCGACGAAAAGAAAAAGCTTGTCGTGCACGTCAAGAGGTGGTGTGGGTGTTGTCGTGCACGTAAAGAGGTGGTGTGGGTGCACTGAGCCGAGGAGCGTTCGGGAGCTTTTCTGATCCCGACCTGCAGGTCCTTATCTGTCCCCGGCGCTGCTTTTCATTTGAATCGCTCGTTTATCAGAGCCCACGCCGTCGCCTCCCCTCACAGTTTATCTTTCCCCGGCCTCCAGGAAATCCTCTGCGCTTGGCTTCGAGATCTGTGTTTCTCAGAGTTGGGAGGTGGAGGGCGGGGGGGAGATAAGGCAAACGGGGAAGCCCACAGCTGGATGAGAAACTCTGAGCGAGCCCACAGTTCAAACCTTTCTTCTGGAAGTTTCTGCTTGGACGTGCCGCTGTGTTTGGTTCTGGCTTTAAAGAGCAGCCGGGGCGAGAACCCGGCTCTTGTCTCAGTGTGATAATAAACAGGAAGTACAGAAAAAATCCACGGCTCTTTATGCACAAAAAACCACCCCCTCCCCCAGAGAACTTTGAATAAAGTAGATGCCATTTCCTGCATTCTGGTGTCTTTTACAGAGGTTTATTACAGTAGATGAACATGAAGCAAAAGACGTAAACTATTATTATTAAAATCTTTATGACTGCAAAGCGTTCGGTGCAGCTCTGCAGGTAAGGGGCGTTCACTTCAGGACAAACTGAGGTCGCCGATTGGTCAGTTGCTGACGCGCCATCTGGGTTGATTGACAGGTGGGTTGAGGATCCGGCTACTTCTAAATTAAAATAAATAAAAATCATAGATTTCAGTGGCCCGTTTAAGACTGCCACCGTTTATTCAATATTTATGTGAATCTAAGGTGGGGACAGTTTATATTGAAGCACAGACAGAGCAACTCGGCCTCAGTCTGTCCACACCTGCGTCCTCGGACCAGTTCTGATGAAGCAGCTGCAGCTCCTCAGTTAAACCATCATGGCGGCCATCTTGACTCAGGTTGACCTCCAGAGTTAATCAGTTGTAGGACGTTTGTAACACCTCCTGCCTGCGGCCTGATTTAAAACTTTTCACTCATTTCCTTGAAATCCAAGCGGTAATCGTCCGTTCGCGTGTTTTAACGATGCGCTTTATGTTTTTTCAAGCGGCCGAGCGTGTGGCGGCCCCCAGCAGTGGTCAGGAGGCGACGGTGGCCGAAGGCTTCGGGAAGCTTTACCCCAGCTCCCAGACGTCCCAGCAGCAGGAGGCGCAGAACGACGACGAGCAGGACGTCGTGTCGGACGTCGTCTCCAGGAAGGAGCTGGAGAAAGGGAGGCTGTCCAAAGATGGTAAATATGAGCTAAAAATGGTCGGGAACAACAGCCGACACACAGCTGAAGGGTTGCTTATCAGCTGATGCTGCAATTAGTTCTCAGACGTTTTCTACAACAATGATCTAGAATGTTTCAGGAATCTGTTTCAGGTTGAGAACTTACAACGACAATAATCCTCCCTTCATGCTGCTGCTTTCTTCTTGCTGTCACAAAACAGCCGAAACGTTCTCTCACGCGTTCTGCAGTGATGCGAGGCGAGTCGGCGGGTGCAGCCGTTAGGCTGCGAGTCGATGGCTAAACAAAAAACTGTGCCGACTGTAGAAAATGAAATTTAAAATTAGACACTGATGAACCTCCTGCTAACATGAGCTGCACCTGGAGGAGGCGAGCGTCGTTCTTCTGTTAGGATCGTGAGTTTGGTCGTTCTCTGAGCCAGATGTTGACGTCATCACAGCTTCTGTCTCTGAACTGCTTTCAGCCTTTTGGTTGTCTAATGATCAGCTGAAATTAAACCCATGAGGTGAGAACCGGCACACGTCAACGTGGCAGAAGTTAAGATTAATGCCATCGGCTGTTCTGAGAACGCTGAGTCAGCATTTTTATTTACAATCGCACTATTTCTGTGTACTTTGAGCTGTTTTAATCGTTCATGTCTCAAAACGTTCAGCTCGTTTGGGAGATGGGAGCTCTGGCTGTTGGTTTGTGCAATTTTATGCTTTTCAAAACATTTTCCCCATAAAAACGCGCTGAGATCAGTTTAATTTCTTTCAAAATGTCTGCTCCGTTTTTGTTGTCTTATCTTAATTCTACTTTTACCTTTAGCTGCTTTTAGCTTTTACTTACCAAATCTGGTGCGTTTAGCGTTTTGCTACTGCTTTTGTTATTTTAGCTTTTAGACAACTTTTTGCTACTTTTAGCTTCTAGCTACTCTTGATACTTTTACCTATCCATGTTTAAGATTTAGCTACACTTTTGATACATAAGCTTCTAGCCTGGCTTTTGCTACTTTTAGCTACTGTTTTAGTACTTTGGGCATTTAGATAGAAGCTTTAAGCAGCAAAATGCTATCTACTGTTTTGGTACTTTTGGCTAGCCTTTTGCTACTTTTAGATAGCTTAAGTGATAATTTAGCTTTTAGCTACAGTTTTGCTATATTAGCATTTAGCTAGCCTATTTTTATTTTTATTTACCATTTTGTTACTTTTATTCAACTTTTGCTATGTTTAGCTCTTAGCACTTTTAACTAACTTTTTAAAAAAAACTTTTAGCATCTAAATTGACTATTGATACTTTGACCTAGCTTTTTGATAATTTAGCTTTTAGCTGCTGTTCTGCTACATTAGTTTTTAGCCATTTTTTGGCAACTTTTTTCTTTTTGCTAGACTTTTGATACTTTTGGCTAGCTTATTGATAATTTAGCTTTTATCTATAGTTTTGCTCTGTTAGCGTTTAGCTAGCCTATTTTGTTTTTAGCTACCATTTTATTACGTTTAATTAGCGTTTGCTTTTTTGAGCTCTTAGAAAGTACTTTTAACCAACTGTTTTTTTACTTTTAGCATCTCGACTATACTTTGACCTAGCTTTTTTTATAATTTAGCTTTTAGCTACATTAGTTTCGCTACATTATCTTTTAGCCAGTTTTTGGCAACTTTTTTTTAGCTATACTTTTGATACTTTCACTTATCTTTTTTACTACTTTTAAGCCTTAGCCACCTTTCTGGTTTGTGATATTTTGCTAACAGATTACATTATTGCCCGACAGTTGAGCGCTGACGAGTCGCCTGTCGGTGTGTCTCTGAGCCCGGCTCCTCCTGTGTTAAGCGTCAGAGTTGAACGAAGCTGCTCTGCGATCCTTCAGACTCTTTTTATTTTTTATTTTTTATTTTTTAATTCACCTCACGTTCGTTCCTGTTTCTTTCCTAAAACAGAGATAAAGAGGATGTCGGTGTTTAAGAACTACGAAGCTGGCGAGCCGACCTGCAGGCTGTATGTGAAGAACATCGCCAAGCAAGTGGAAGAGAAGGTCGGCCCCGTTTAGCTGATTGTTGTTACTTCTTCCTGAATGAATAAATGAAAATAAACTCTTTGTCGTTTTTATGACTTTAGGACCTGAGGTACATCTACGAGAGATACATCAACCCTTCATCGGAAGCAGAGAGGAACATGTAAGTTAAAAAAAATCTGTTTGAATGTTGAACTTGTTGTGTGCCACTGCACCCCGTTTGAGCTATTTCCGATTCCAGCAATTATTCAGCTCCTCCTGAGAGTTTTTTGTGATTCGTGCTGACTCTGCCTTGTGTTTTTAATAAGGATCTAAACAGATACTCAGATCATGAGGGACGTTTTGATGTTTGTGCATCAGCAGTACTTCAAACAGATATTCTACCTGACTCATCAACTGAATACAAAAAAACAAACAAGAGGAACTCTCTGCCAGAGGCTCGATCTGGGCTTTACTGACCTGTGTTTATTGTTGATGGGCTACCGATGCTAAATATACAAAATACTATATGCTATAATATATAACATATAGTATAATTAGTAATTATTGTCAAATTTAAAAAGAAATGTTGGTTATTTTGTGTGTAGTACCTTTCTTCGACCACCAGATGGCAGTATGACTGTTTGAACCCAAGGATGGATAGTGAGGGAGCGAGCAGGGTGTCTATGAAAAATGGGAGGGAGGCCCCTTGACGTGACATGGGCTGTCTCTCTTCGGCGGATGCTCAGTGTGGTTTGAGCTCTTCAGCATTTTTCACACAAAAGCTTTTAATAAAACAATCAGTAAACAAGTTCGCACGGGTTTCAACCGGAGTCTAACACAAGTAAACGGAGAGAGGAGAGCAATGTGCAAAAATAAAAACGCTGCCTGTAAATCAGCTTATCATATCGAAGACACGGTCGGCTAACAAGACGGCTAAAGTTAGCCGACCGTGTCTTTAGCGATGCTTCACACACGCTTACTAACGTTGTGAGGCGGCGCACCTGAAGAGGATCATTATTTAATATATGGACGGTAAGCAGTTTATTTTTTAGACATTTAGTAGAGTTACAGCTGTTTGTTAGTAAATGTGCCTGTGTGACAATTTGGACAAAGCTTTGACTCAGAAATAGATTTTTATTACTTTATGGAAAGAAAAAATATTAATTAATTCAATCTTTATACAGTTTAGTCTCATTGAGCCACGGGACTCATTTACGAGAGAAACCTGATTAACAAATAATGATGACAACAGTAGACAATAATTAAAGAAAGCATATGAATCGAAAAAATTAATGGAAGAAAATTATATTAAAATACTAAACAAAACCAGCTACATTATAAAGCGATGTAAAATACTAAAAACGGGAACGTGTCTGCATAGGTTTGTGCCATGAACTTAGCAGATGCTTGAATATCGATATATATCGTATATCGCGATTTATCTAAAAATATCGAGATCTTCATTTTGGTCCATATCGTGCAGCCCTAGTTGCAGGCTTGTTAGGATTTACCCAGACATCTGCACATCTCGTACTGAATAAAGCTACACTTTGAGGCTCCTCCTTGTTTCTCTTTGGCTCGGTGAAATCAATAGGTTGTCCGTCAGTGACTGTTTTATCTGCTTCCAGGAGCAGAAAACCGTTCCCCTCCTCCTGCACCGAACACAGCAGAACGTCGTGGAGCCGGTCCGGCCACAAACCCGCAGCGATAATGACGTGTCCCTGCTTTGCTTTGTTCCTCAGGTTTGACATTGTGTTAATGAAGGAGGGGCGGATGAAAGGCCAGGCCTTCATAGGACTCCCGAGTGAGCAGAGCGCAGAAAAAGCCCTGCGGGAAACCAACGGCTTCGTTCTCCACGACAAACCCCTCGTGGTCGTATCCTTTCATCCCCTCTCGCAGGGTGATGCAGAACGAGGGCTTTTAAAAGGAGTGCAACGGCAGGCTTTGTGTTTTAGTCGAGGGTTTAATTAATTTTGGGCGTGAAGGTACGCCGACACAAAGAGTTCTGTTTGGCGTCAAAAAGTATTGTCCTTTTGTTCCACAGCAGCTGAAACGAGTGACCGAGAGGCTTTTATTGAGTCTTACACGCGAGTACATGGAGGTGGCTCGGACGTGTAACGGGTGATATGTTTGGGTTTCATACCGACCCTCCCCCTCTTAGATGAGTTCCTGGCTTTGGTCCTCAGCGCCTTCAAGAGGACAGGGAATGATCTCTGACAGCTCCGAACCACCAGCTGCTCTTCCTTCCTGTGTGTGCAGAGAATTATGCTTCAACTTTTGAACCCTTGTGGAGAAGAACTCTTGGTTCTGACCGAGTTTTAACGCTCGTTCAGTCATGTGTTTGCTCAAAGACAAATTACAGCAATGTATTCTTCAAGTATTTATTCTTAATTTAAGCAATATTGCTCCAAAAAAATACTCAAAGTGTAAAGTTCCACGAGGAAAGAAGAGGAAAAAGTGAAACGTGGTGCATGCGTGTGAATTCACCTCCTTTTCGTTAAAGCTCAAACCAGAAGCCACACGATGATGCTCCTCACAGGTGGATCTTATTTAAGTGTCATTCAGTGTAGACGCACCTATTCCTGAAAGAATCAACACCAGTCCAATGCATTTAAGGGGTACCACTTAGCATGAGACATCATGAAGACCAAGGTACTTTCCACACAGCTCAAAGACTTAGTTGTGGAGAAGACGGATCAAGGTTGTAGTATAAGAATATTTCCCAGAACCTTGTACATCCCATGAAGCGTCATTAAATCTGTTCTTAGGCAACAGAAAAGTGATGTCACCACAGCAAACCTTCCAAGAGAGGGTTGTCCACCATGACTCATGGAGCAGGTCAGGAGGCTGGACCCTGGTGGAGCTGAGCAGCTCTTCTGCAGAGAACAGAGGACCTGTTCATAGGACCACTAGAGGCTTCATGGAAGAGCAGCAGGAAGAAGTCGTTGCATAAAGAAAAACCAGCTGGACTGTTTGAAATTTCTTCCCTGAACATGGAAGAAGATGTTCTTGTCATCATCAGTTTTAATCCATCCAGACCATGTCTGAGGCACATCTACCACCTCTCATCCTGCTGAGAAACCCAGTCCCACAGTGAAACATGGTGGTGGCACCATCATGCTGTGGGGATGTTTTCCATCAGCAGGGACTAAAAAAACCAGTCGGAGATAAAGGAGAGATGGACGAAGCAAAAGACGAGGACATTTCTGAGAGGAACTTGTTTGAGACGGAGGTCCACCAGTGAGTTTAAACAAAGCTGGAGAACCCTCCACTGGTTTACGGAGAACTAGGCAAATGGTTCTACTTAAATCTTGCATCAGTTCAGTCCTGAAAGCTTCTGCACCTGGGGCTCTAATACATATTGAGGTTTGGGAGGTGAATCCATATTCAAACTTAAAAGAAATCTTTGATTATTTTGTTAAACTGCCTGAAAGGTGAAGGGTTATTAACAGACAACATGCGGTGACGGTCTTATTCAACCCGTTATGGGGTAAAGACTTAATTCAACGGTGCGTTTGTCAGAACTAGGCATGTCACGATAACATTCTGCTGGGCGATTAATTGTCTCAGAAATTATTGCGATAAACGATAATATTGTTTGAAATTTGATGATAATTAGTAATTGTCAAATTTTTTTAAAATGTTGGTTAATTTGTTTTGTGTGTAGTACCTTTTCAACCACCGGATGGCAGTATAAGACTGTTTGAACCGATGGATGAATAGTGAGGGAGCGAGCAGCATGTCTCGTTAAGAAAAAGGGGAGGGAGGTCCCTTGACGTGACACGGGCTGTCTCGTTCCTTTTTTCCGGTTTTCAAAATGGTGGATGCTCTGTGTGGTTTGAGCTCTTGAGCATAGCATTTTTCAGACAAAGCTTTTAATAAAAAAACCAGTGAACAAGTTCGCAGCTTCTTTTTGCAGAGAAAAACAACTTTTTACACGAAGGCGCAGGTTTCAACTGTGAATTTTGGAGCTTCGACAAGACGGAGGCTTTTTTTTTCCCCGTGGTCGACCTGTTAGCTTAGCTCCTTTTAACGTTCCAAAAACGCGATTTTGGAACGTTAAAATGGATTTTAAAGAAAAAAGCGATCCAGTGTCCAGTAGAGAGAGCGACACGAAAACGATAAAGCCGATAAATGAAAATTATCGGCCTAATTTTAATTTATCATGCAATTAATTGATTTATCGTGACAGGCCTAGTCAAAACCTGCCACAATGCTAGAATGGCAACCTAAAGAAAACAAGACTCGAGTTCTCGAAGGCAATTTTAGACAAAGGTTTGTGGCATGATGAGAGCACTGCTGCAACTTTTTCCTCAATTTCCACTTTTATGAGGCAGAGGTTTCACGAAGCAAAGGGGACCCAACGTTCTTTGTACAAGGTTGGATGTAAATGTGGAGTTCCCATGCAGGGGGAACAAAGCAAGCTGTTCAGAGTGGTTGAGCTGACGAAGCACATTTAGGACGTATGTTGCTGTACAAACCTTAACGAGAAGTTCACAGCAATTCGCTCGATCCGCAAGACCGAAACAAGATACCACAGATCATAAGAAAGGTCCAAAGCAACGGTGAACATAACGGGTGAGAAAAAAAATTCCAAGGTCCTTTTACTCTTCTTAAAATCGGCCACTGGATTCTCATTACTGCAATTATTTTTTTATATTTTATCATTTTAAGATACCAAGCCTTGATATTGTGGCCCTCCAGAACCATATGTATCCTTATTCCGATATATCCTTTGGAGAAAAAAAACAATACTACTGAGGATAAAGGCAGTTTATTTATAGATACCGATGCACACATCGAGCTTTAAACTACTCAGCGTGTCCTGTAGTTTAACAGAAAAGACTCCGCATCGTGCTGCGTTTGTATAGTTTTTATTTTTATTCTGTTTTGGATTGCTCAGGCTGATTTCTTCCTTGTTTGACTGAATAGGTGGAGATCATCGGAGGCCGTCTTCTTCCATTCTTACAGCGTTGAATAAAATCTTTTAATAAAGTGTCTGTTGACGCGTCTTCATTTGATTCCTGCCTCCAGCACATGCCTCAGATTGCTGGCACGCCTCTGCCAACGCATCATAACTGATTATCTTTTGTCCCAAACTTAAAGGCTTGTCAGCAGAGTAAATACAGGGAGGTATACGAGCTCTAGATGGGCTCTGCAGCAGATGGTAGGCTGTCGAAACGGAGGGGGGGAAACCGTCCTGAAGAGACAGCGACCAAAACAAACAGACTGCAGTCTGGGAGAGGCTTACCTTTACAGTCCCTGGCTGCTGCCGCTACGTTTAATACAGAGGAAGTCTTTGGAAATAAAACTGGTGTCTTGTTTAGGTTGGAGTGATACTTGAGGCTATATCACAGATTATACTTTCTTACATTTTTATTCTAGCTAAACACATCTCATGAATTGCTGCTTATGTCTGATCCTTCAGTAAGTCGCGTTTAGACGCGCATCCCATCGGACGGTGAGCCGGCTACACCCGTCGTGGCCAAGTGAAACGAGACTTGTTTGTAGTGAATTTGGAACTTCCACTCCAAAAGCTCAACAAGATAAAGCTATGTGCACTAGAAGATCACGCCACGCAAGCAACTATGCTACTCCTACGAGAATCAGTCGGGTATTTCCATGACCTTATCACGGTCATGGTTGTAGCCCAGGCATGAAGCCATTGGGACCAGTTCTGCTTCAGCTCTTCAATGGCTAAACCAGGGCCTCAGGTCATGAATATGCTGCCATCATGCTCCTCCCAGGACTTCTTTACGATGCCACCATGATGGCAAACCACCACAACCGTGCTACAGAAGTTTGGTGCATGCTCAGAACTGTTGTGGACATATATCGTTATGTGTTGGAAGACATCGCCATAACCCTGCAAAGATATCCACGTTCTGGCCGATTTATAAAAAAAAAAAAAAATTGATACATTTTCATCATTACCACTAAAAAATATTAGCCTTGCAAATATCCAGTGCATTAGAACCTTACAACGTCAATGTTTTAACAACAGCTGAATAGAAGTCTTGTTCATGCACACCAGCGCTTGATGTTTTTCTTCGTTACAATAGGAGGAATCGGGGATTTGAAGATGCCGATGATTCATAGGAACAGTTTGTATTTTCTGTTGTTGATTCAGCTGGAACACAGAGCCACTTGTATCGTACAACATACAGTGACTAAAGTACAACACAGAAAAGACTCGAAGCTTTGAATATTTTAGTAGTCGTTCTCAACCTGCTGGAGGTTTTGTTGGCAATCGCACTGGGATGGGGACCCAGAACTCGTTGGAGGGGCAATGTATCTTTGCTGGACTGGAAAAACTTTGTGATCCCCCCAGGTATAGCTGTCATTTCTAACCGGAGCCTGTCCCTGTCCGACTCGTATTTGAACCAGGCCGGTCCATAATAATGTGCTTAATGCTCGGGCCAGGTCGGTGTTGGGCTTTTAATTGCATCAGCGGACGAGCACGACTGACTATCCAATTATATGACAACATTGCTTGCCATACTATCACCAGCTGCACGCAGCCATTTGACCGCGCGCTGACCGGCCTTGAAAAAGGTAAAAAGTTCAGTTAAGCTTCAGATGGACTACTGCCAGCGATCCATCAGCCCAAATGGACGTTCATGAGACGCTGCGCTCAGCGCACGTGCGACCGACGACCCAAACAGGTGAAATCACAAAATATCTGACATGTCAGAGCAGGGTCCGTGTCTGAATAATGCAGAATGCAGGCAGAAGCAGGGGTTTAATGTGCTCTGACCACCATGAAATGACAAACGCCCCCTCAGCTCTGATCTTCTGCCCCCTTTATTCAGCCACGCACGTCTGCCGACCAGCAGTTAAAGCTTAATTAAAAATGTTGGAGGTTTTGTCGGGTTCAGACCTGTAATTGCTGTTAATTTGTCGAATCGGGTGGGGTTCTGAAACGATGGCTACGTGTTGGGCCTGGATCGGATTTTTTGGACCCGAATGCAACTCTATCCCCAGGTTTGCCTGGAGAGGGTCACTGGGGAAAGGAACGCCTTAGTTTCTCATGTAGACCTGTTGTCTCCATGACTGGACTGCTGATAAGGGGAAGAACATGAACATGGATGAAGAGTCCCCCGAGATGGGGTTGGGACTCCACTCTGGAGGATTGCTTTAGTTAAAAGTGCAACTAAAAATTATTTTTGTTGAGGCTGCCATTGATAATCGGCCTGATGACCTTTAAATAGCAACAATCAAGGACACAGTTCTCTGCTACGAAAAGGTTTGTTCACCACTATTCAAAAAAGTGTGGAAATTTGTACTTTGCTTTTGTAGTTTCTAAAGTTTTTAAATGCATCTACTGGATGTCTCAGTCAAGAGAAGTTGAGCAAAAGAAAAGCTGCTTTGGCTTGAAAGTACCGGTAAGAAACGTAAATGTGCGGTTTTGCAAATCACCCATGGACCTTCTTGCAGGGAAATGGTGCACAGCAAAAATTCATCAAAGTTGGTTAAAGTAACCAGCTAAATTCAGCGATATCTGCTTTTTTACCTGCTGCTTAAGAAACAAAAATAGGACTTGTGTCCTTTCTTTCCAACACGTTTTTTTTTTTACATGTAGTTGCATTTACCAGGTTCCAAAAGACGTCTATTTTGATTAGAGGCTGAGAAAGGTCCGCATCGAACATACAAATCCAAAGTAAATTATACTTTTGTGTAACTTTTGTAGTTGATGAATTCTCCTCCCCAACTGCCTCTCTGTGGTAAGACCCGGCACACGACCGTATCAATCACATGTGCTCATCTGGTTCGACCCGCGACTCATACTTCAACGCCAGCACAAGGGAGGAGTTCCCATCTGTGCCCTACTTTGCCCGCCACCTCAACAATGACAAATGTGGCCCCCGCAGTGGAAATATTGAGAGTTAGCAGGACATTTATCAGGTAGCATTTGAGCAATACGAAAGATAACCTTTTGTAAGTGGACACAGATAAAGATGCATGCTCTGCCTTTGCACAGGCTTCATTTCAGTCCAATACTGCGAGTACCCAGGAGTAATATCACCACGATGTGTTTCGTATTTGGGCTTCAACCAGGTGTGCAGTCTCTTTGCTAGATTTACTTTAGCTGTTATGACTGGCTCAGTGCGTTCTATTTGAGACATTATTGCAGGCTGTAGATCTTCTCTGGATCTCTATTGACTTCATACTAAATGGGTTTTTTTGTTTTATAATTTAATTGGCATTTTTACCCATAATCTAGTTAAAACTGAAAATATAGGTTCAACTTAAGACAAAGACAACCTTAAGCTGTCTTCAGACAACCCCTAAGGACAATGTCTATGTCTGACCTATACTACAATGGCTACTTTTGTATTTTTTTTTAAGTTTTATTGTTTTTTTTTTTTACACTTGGCAACGGTTTATATTTTACTACCACTAAATTTGAATGCTTTTGTGAAATGACATAAGTCACTGTACCCATCAAACAGTTGATTCCTGAACCCCAACAGAGTTGGAGGCACCTGTTAGTCACAAGGACCAGTGGGGCAGTGCTTAATTTGAGCCGGGAACGCTTATTTTGACTGGGTGCGTTCCAGTAACTGTTTGCTCGGATCTGGTAACGCTCAGGCTTACTGTAATAAAGTTGTGAACAAATATGACTGCCTTGAATTAATTAAACTTATATTAGATATGTAAACTGAAAATAATTATATAAACACTAATTTTAAACACAACAGCCACAAGTTACGAGCATCTGCCTCTTCAAGTAGCATTTCCGTATCTACCCTTAAAAAAAATCCTGCCCTTAAAAGAGTAGTGGGGGTGAGTGCTAAGCTAACCAGGCAGTCATACGTGGGCAGGAGCCCACATGCAGCCGCCTGGAGGTTCACGTGGAGTTGGACAACAACGAGCAGGGGCAGAGTCGGGCTCGGCTCCTGGCTCGACTTAATTGATGGTTGGGGGGAGGAGGATGCTTGACAGAAACAGAGCGTTTACAAATGTAGGTAAACGTAGGCTGTTTAATTGCGTTTTGGCACGTTTTACAAATTAAGCCTTGTGGTGGGGTGTCTGATGATTAGCTCTTCATATGTGTTGATGGCTTGGACTTGTTCTTGTGGATTTTTGTGGATGCTTGGTTGATGTTTATTTCCTTGTGGCTTCAGCATGATTACCATTTATGGAAGTCCAAAGCCTCTGCAATGTTGCCTGCAGGTAGTTCACTTCCATTGTGATCACATGGCCTTTCTTGGATACCATTTAGGGCATTGGAGATGCCAACGAAAAGGTGGAACTTTGTTTGTAAACGGTCTTTACTTGATTCAGATTTAATGTACTATATCTATATATAACCAGGGGTGTCCAACCCTGTACTTAGAGGGCCACCATCCTGCATGTTTTCCTTGTTTCTCTGCTCCAACAATCTGATTCAAGGGTTGAAACACCTCCTGTTCTGCAGGGGCCTGTTACTCACCTATTGGTCCACATCAGGTGTGTTGGAGCAGAGAAACATGCAGGATAGTGGCCCTCGAGGACCTGGACTGAACACCCCTGATGTGTGAGTCTAAAATAAGTGATAAGTTTGAAATCTGAAAACTGAGTCACTGTCGTAATGTGTTTTGCTCAGGTGCTGAGTTGTCCTGTTGCACCTTTTATTGCAAAGTTTGTAAAACTCATTGAAATGTGATGTACAACTGAGCTGTCTCACTTTTTCCCTTTAACTGACCTCTGTTTGAACTGGACCCCCCAATAAAACAAACTGCTCATTAAATCTCCCCCCT